AAGGGAAGGGAAGGGAAGGGAAGGGAAGGGAAGGGAAGGGAAGGGAAGGGAAGGGAAGGGAAGGGAAGGGAAGACCAGTTTTATCATTCTTCCTGCCACTTAAGCTGAAAGAGGAACCTGGCAGAACGGTTGCCAGTTTCATCTGGTCCCCAAAGAAGAAAGATCTACCTTTTCACTGTTCCACTAGTGAAGTTGTTAAAAAAAAAAAAATCCAGTGCGAAACGAAGTGGGAAAAAAACTCAAAAGGTTCACTTCCATGCAGGCAGCCCCAAATGAAATGGTTCTGGAGGCCACAACCAGAGGAGTGGGGTATCCCTGCCCCAGTGGACAGTCACCAGTTGGAGTGGAGGCATTGACTTAGAACAAAAGGAAGCACAGCCGGTGAACTGGCAGCCCCACTTGGGCTGGCACTAGTTAGACAGCGTGACTTTTGATGCACAATAGGAAAAGCAGGTGGAAGATGCCTTTGTGGTGGACTGTGGGAGGGTGGAGGATGGCATTTTGTGTCCCTGTCTTCAAGTAATGGTTAATGACCCATACGCGGGCTCACCCTGGTCTTGTAGATCAGCCAACAGAATGAATCAACTTTCCTTGGAGATGCTTGGGGTTGCCATATCAGGACAGTGATGTAATCCCTTCTTTATTCCTGAAATAATTTTTTATATTTGTAATTCTTACAACCTTATGGAAATGGAGGAGGAGGATGATAATACTACTAACAATGTTTGCAGATAGTAGGAATAAGAGTAGTTGATTGCTTAGGGCCACTCAATGTGCTGCCAACAGAAGTGAAATTTGAATCAGCGATTTCTTGCCTCAAGCATTTGTTTTCCAGACCAGTTCTGCCCAGCCCCAACATTCATCCTGGTCAAAAATGACCTCTTCCTAATCCAGCCTGTGGTGTTCCATACATATCATGCTTGTAAACTACCAATATTGTATATACTGCTTGTATATACAGTACCTGCATATTTGTGTGCATGCACCCCCTGACACACAGCATTCACCCTTAACCCCCTCTCTTTTACCCAGCAGCCCTGGAGAATAGTTGTATCACTTCTGCCAGTCCAGCACTGCATTCCACCAACTTCTTCAGTTCTCCTGAGTTCTGTCCATCTCTCCAAATGCAACAGAACTCACCAGCAACACATTTCAGTCTAAACACTGAAGGGTGTCTTCTGTCATTAGAACTGCCCTTCTTAAAGAGAGAGCTAGGCAACTAGATAGTAGGAGGAGTGAACTAGATTGAACCCCTATATTGATTCACATAAATGTGCCATAATTTTTAAATCTCCCTTAACCTGATTATTATTTTTTTTTAATGAGCAGGTTCGGGAGCCGTTAGTAAGCTAGCTAGCTGGGATGGGAAATAATTCTCAAGCTCACTTACTGCTATTTATTTCATCTGCTAATCTTTCTGCAAAAATGGCTTACCATTCTTGAACCTCCCTATTGAATCTTAGTATTACCAGCCTGCAGCTGGTAATACCTGATCCAAGATCACCTGCCAAGCAGTGATTTGAATCTGAGTCCACCTCCCATTTCCAGCCCCATGCATCCCCCATGAACCTATAATCTAGGAATCATCTTCGGCTGAAGGGAATCAATAAAGAAGAGTGCATCTGAGCATGTGTAGAACCAAGCCTTTCCTCCTTCATCGGGTCACTTTATGCAGTCACCCCAACCCCGTGGGTTTAAGGAAACCAGACTTTCCAGCTTCCACTGATGACCAAAAAATACCCTGCCCTTCAGGAATTAAAAAACTGCTCCAGACACAACCATCAGCACAAGCCTACACAGGAGGAGTGGTTCTTCGCCAGAACAGCTGTAGGGTAGCAGTTAAGAGTGGGTGCTGTGAGCTCCCAAGCCCCCCGTTCAAATGCTACCCCCGGCTTGATCCTCTCCTTCTCAGTCCATAGTCTACCTTGCTTTGCCCTTCCTCATCTTGTACACATAAAGCTGTTCAGGAAAGGGCTAGATCAGGGGACTTCCAGCATCTTGTTGTTGGACTCACAGTATCATTCCTGACTTCTATCTCACCAAATGCTCCAGTCAAATCAGCCCAACCTCTCCGCCTTCTCAGCAGGTTTGCAGAGCCCCCTGCTGTTCAGTCAGTTCCCTCCCCAAGATTTCGGCACTCACGTGTACTGCCCAGCCACACTGTGGTACGTCGAGGGGGCACAGTAGCCTTGCCTAGTCCACGCCCCTGGCTCCATGATACTCCGGCTAGAACAAGAGACCGTGTTAAATTCAACCAGGAGCAGGTTTCGCCTCTCGCAGACTTGAAGCCGCCTGGCATCTCCCAGATTCAAACCTTCGAACATCGTCTTGGTCGCTGGGACATCTAGCAACCGCACGAGCCAGCAGCCGCACCACATGAGGAAGGCTGAGAGTGCATCACACCCACACAGCACATGGCAGTCAAGTTGCCTGTGCACACAGGGAGAGGCAGAAAGAAAGAGGGAGGGGGATCTGCCGGCAGCCTGGTGTAAGGTCATGGAGAAAGCAGGGTGCTCGGGGACAGGGAGGCGCAGGTGACGCTGACGAGGGGAAGGAATGAGAGAGGTGGATGCACAGTTCAAATGTGCCTACTTCAAAGGCACATGAGGAACGGAACTACGCCCAGCGAGAATCGCTCACATTGCTACACGCCGTTCCACCACACACAGAAACAGCACCTCTGCTATCACAAGCTGCTGCAAAAGCAGTTTCACAGCAACAGCTACCCAAGATATAATAGTACAAGGAAACACACATAGAGGAAGGCTGCATTTCCTTCAGGCATGAATGGGCATAGAAGGCTTGCAAGCAGGGCTCCACACACAGGCCAGGACCCGTCCTGGCACTACTTCCTTCACGTGGCTCATGTCCATGCTTCCAGGAAGCCCTTGAACTATCATACGGAAAAGGCCAAGTGTGTCATGCTTAAGTGGGCCCTGCTTCCCTTGAATTCTCTGCTAGATGACAGCTAATTGCTGAAGCATTTTAGTAAGCTTTACTTTTTAAGTGCTGAAAAAGCCGTTGTATTTGAAACAGTGAAAATGCAGGTTTTCACCTTGTTTTGAGTTTGGCTGTGTGTTTTTATTGACTGCCCTCATCGTTTCGCCTGGCTTTGCTTTATTTTCCATCTAGTCACCTTTGGATAAGCAGTTAAGATGGGTGGTCTGTGAATGCCATTGCTGAAGATAACCCTTCAAATAGATTTGCGTGGGGCAGATGTAGAAGGTGCCAGGGCCTTGCCACATTGCTGTCCACCACAGTAATGCTCAGGGCTGAGAGCTTCTTTCACCTACCACGCCGTCCTTTCTGCAGTAGCACATCTTGTCGGAGTCAGTAGAGCAAGGCAGCTCTGTAGACCACCTTCCTGCAGGAGTCACCCATCATTTGCCCTGGATGCCTGATGCTTCCTCATAGAGAAGGGCAATAGATTTGCATGTTTGGCAGGGAAAAGATTCCAGAGAGAATTGAAGATTTATGTTGGAAACCTGAATAAATCATTCTACTCTTTGCCAACCAACATTCCCCAACCTGACTCTCAGCTCTGGATGGATGGATGGATGGATGGATGGATGGATGGATGGATGGATGGATGGATGGATGGATGGATGGATGGATGGATGGATGGATGGATGGATGGATGGATGGATGGATGGATGGATGGATGGATGGATGGATGGATGGATGGATGGATGGATGGATGGATGGATGGATGGATGGATGGATGGATGGATGGATGGCAAGACAGAGAGAGAAAATTCTTATGCTGGAAAATATAGATTGAGTGTGCATCACAATACTTGTCTGCCAGACTAAAAGCATAAATCTTTATCTGTCCCAGAATCCTGAACCACATATATACTGCATATGAAAAGATTCATACATCAGTAAAAAACCTATTCCAGTCCCTGCAACTTGTAATTCGGCCTCATGTTCTCCTTGTCTTCTTGACTGCCCTCTTTGAGAAAGCAGTGGAAAGACCAAGGAGGAGGAATAGTCACCTCTATTTACTTTTCCCTCTCTCCTGATCTTTCCAGGAGGTGGTGGCATTTGGCCTCAAGGGAAATGCTAAATATGATCCATAGGAAGAAAAGGAGGGTCCGCTCAGAAAGGTCTCATGGGCAGTATCATGAAAAGGAGCTTCAAAACCTAAAACTGAACTCCAGTATATATTTCACAGTGGCACAGCAAGAGAAGTGTTGACATGATCATCCTCTCTCCTCACTGCATCAAGGTGCACCTAATCATCTAAGAGAGAAGGGCAAAAACCAGAGTTTTTGTAGGCAACAGCAGCCTCGCAGAGCTGCTGTAAGGCCCAGACCTCTCAGACCGCCTGGCCTAAGAGAATGCTGGCAGCCGTCCTGTCAGCTCAGAGAAGGATGGGCTAGAGAGGAACTCGGAGCCTACCAAAGTTTTGTTCCTTATCCACATCCTGAACTCAGATATGGTCATTGTGTTGTTGGCAACAGTAAGGAGTACCCTGGCCCATCTCTCATTTTCTCTCCCAACTCCTTTGTTACCCTTATGCTCAAGAACATGCATTCACCCCTCATTCCCAGGTAAATGCAGTTGCTTCTTCTCCCCCCCCTCCCCAAGTTTCCCAATAAATAAGAGAGTTCAGCACAACTCCCACACCAGCTCCAAGTGAAACCTAGCAACTGAGCGCCAGCATGGCAACTGCATTGGCAACTGACGGCAACGATGGGAGTGGTTAGCAGAACTGCCAGTGACACAACCCCACTGATTATATGGGGGGTTGGGGAAGTGATGGGACTTGGCAACATTTGTTCCCGTGTCACTGTTTTCAAAAGGCCTGTGACTGAGCCCCCGGATCCAGGGATCCACGTACTAATTATTAAGACGTAATATACAGAAGACTTAACGGGTTGCATTGTCTATACTCCCATAATCCTTTCATCTCATCATCAAGAACATCGCTTCTTGAATACCTCTGTACCAGCATTAGAATGCTGGCATGAGGCCTTGGTATTTTCTTCTATGCGATATATGCAAGTGACACGTATATGTGTGTTCATGCTTTCCTCTCATGGTGCTTCTGTATTTGCACACATCAACTGGAAAGCGGAGGGCAAGCTGTGATGGGGGGAGGGCTTAGAATGGAGGAGTCGGAAACGTTCCAAGCCGCTGCCCGAGAGCCTCTCCCAACAGGGATACATTGGGGGAATTTTTCCCACAATGTTTTTTTCCTGCAGCCCCCAGCCTCATTTTTGGTCCATTTCTTAACTTGGTCTTTCTTTTTCTGGCTTCTCCCCCATACCCCAATACGGTTCTGTTCTGTTCAGTTTTCGGAGAATTATACTGCTGATGGACAGACAAAAAAATCAGCTGGAAGCCTGAACGCCTTTGCATAATTTTTTTCCAGTTTTCTGTTGGGTTTGAAAGAATAAAACTGTCACTGTTTCTGGGCCTATAAAACCATCACTGGCCGCAAAAACAAAGCCAATATGTAATTTTTCCTAGCACAGAGAGCTCACCTTTACATCTGTACTCAGACCAACTTTGCTTCTGCATTAAACTTGCCAACTTTCCAAAATCTGACAGGAAAAGAGGAACACTAGACTTTACACTGGGAACAGTGCTGAGATGAGAAATTTTCTGGCGTGCATTCCAGCAAATCAAAAAAATGGGAACTGTTGTGCCCAAGGGCTCCAGCATGCCCCATTCAGAAGTATTGGAACAACTGCTAGTATTCCTACTTTCCCAACACAGAGACCAATATGTGGGCACGTTACATTGTCATATAATGGACAACATCTAAAATCAGTTTTCATAATTTAATTATATAGAGAAAGCCAGTACTGAAACAAGCAGTTTAGTACCAGACAGCCAGATAAATAACTACTTATTACATATCTATTTTGTAGATCAGTCCAGACTGATTCTCTGTTCGGTTAATTAAGTAAATCATCATCACCGTTCACACACACATACACAGAGTGTTGACAGACAACTGTTTGTACTGTGGGAATGGGCAATTGTTAGGTTTGGTAAGACTTATTGATGAGAATCCCCCGCCCTCCAACCAGAGATTAGCAGTCTGAGCCCAGGACTATCGGAACAGAATGGAGCTCACTGTCCTTCCTTTAAAAAAACCCAGGCTGAACTGTATTACCCTTAATATTATTATTATTTCATCTGTCTGATGGAGGTGCTAATTGGAGTCCAGAAATTTTTGCTGCTATATTAGAAGCAGTCTGGGAGATACTGAGAGACCCATATCTAGAGTCACTGGTCACTGGTCTGAGTTGGGTGGCTATATTAACTGAATAAATAAATAAATAATAAATAAATACATCTAGTTTCTGCTCACCCCAAATAACCAAGTCCAGGCAAGCAGCATCACATGCTTAGTCCCAGATCATTAACACAAAGATCTTTTCATACAGGCAGTGTATTTTCCTTGCGACCCACATTCAAAATCAAGAAACAGAAACCTACCTCCACATCCACAGTTGTGAGATGAAAATACTTTGATACTGTATGTCTTCTGGAGTTGGCCACAAGGCTACGGTTTGTCACTTTCTGTCAGCTCTGGATCTGTGCTCACATCCATCCCTTTTATCCACGATTGCCACTCTCCCCAGTCCTCTTGGCCTACTTGAGTTAGGTTGAAATCAGCAACCCAGAAGCCTGGTCACCCACTTGCTCCTCAACCAGCCCAGTTCTGTCTTCTGTTAGCATCAGATACAGAATATTTAAAGTCCAAATTGTCCCAACCCAGGGGTGCAGCCTTAACCATTCTCTGCTTGCCCTACTCCCACCCTGCGGGGAATGTGCTGTGTCAACACTCGTGTGTGGGTGGGGGTAGAGGAGCGAAGACCAGGAGTAAGCGCATGATCGTAGAATAGACTCAGACTATTGGGATACAATGCATTTCTGGTATAGGGCTGTCCTCCATATATTTTATTGTGGGGGAACAACTGTGCTCTAAGGTCATCTCCTTCTAATACAGGCTCTAACAGCAGTCTCTCTCCTGATTGAAGCTCATCAATGTGTAGTGCAAGAGCAGAGTGATGGACTCAGATGGAGGAGATCCAGGTTCAAATTCCCCACTTGGCTATGAAGCTCATTTGGCGATATTGGACCACTTATCACCTCACACACCATTATCTCTGAGGATAAAACTAGGGGGAAGGGGGCATGAGAACAGGTAAGGTCCATGATTTAATCATAGTGCACCTTTTCCCACCTGGCACTCTCTAGATGTCTGAGGCTGCAAGCGGCTGTATGGATGAAGACCTTTTCTTCCACTTCTGGGGTACATGTGTACCCCCCAAGAGATTGCAGAGACATCCAGGTCCCAGCA